AAAAAATCTACATTTGCAAACTGGTACGTAGGCCAGAATCACAGAAACTCAAAGAAGCACATAAGGCATTAATCATTGCCACCAACATGCCTGACTTTTTAAATGAGTTTTATGTTCCCTGTGAATGTTCATCCATGATTGAGGTCACTGCTTTGGTCCTTGCAGTCATCACGTTACACAATAACAACATTATAACTATACAAAGAAAAACATTCATAGTTAATGTTGTAGGAAATTACAATTTAGGAAGTCTTATGTGTACAAATCATTCAAACCATAATAGTGGCCGGGGAAAATTATGCAAAAACGGTCCTTCATGAGCAATATAAAACATATGAAGAGAACAATATAGTATAGCAATTCCAGGAAATGTTCAAGTACTGAGTAAGCAGACTGTGCTCCCCCTGTGCAACTCAAAGTTTACTTTGATCACAGTGTACTTCTAGGCCCTATTCACACTATCACACTTTGGTAAAACGTGTGTTAATGTAACATATTGTAATATATGCGACATGTTACAGGTACTCTAATGCACCTTGCCAATGGATATGCTTTGCAGTGCACCCCAACTCATGGCAATGCACTACGGTACTTTTAAGCATGCTGCATTACAGAATATAGTACATAAACATTTTTTGGGGAGTTAGGAAGCTCATTCAAATGAAGAACTGCCATAATGCAACATATGTTAACATGTGAAATAATGCAAGGCAATAGTATGAACTAGCTCCTAAAAGAGAAGTATGGATTTTAAAAAAAAAACATAGTTACCTAGAATTCAGTTCTCCACACCATTCTGACTGTCAATCACAGCTGTCTGCTCTAATCCCCCCCTCCCTATTTCTCACTGGAGCACTGGGCTCTGAAGGGGGTGGGAGCAGCTGGCTCAGGCTCTCAGCAGCTTCCTGAGAGGCTGAGCCAGCTGCCGGTCTAGGTTTGTGGGTGGATCCGGACCATATGGTCTCAATGCTTCAGAGCCTGGGCTGGCTCTGTGATGTCAACCAACAGCGGGCTTTTGTTCATCCTGCATTCCTATAATCCACAGGAGAAGTACAGACAAATGAGTTTTGGCTGCACTTCTCCTTTAATTGGCAAAAATGCATTATGTGTTCGGTTATATTTAAAAAAAAAGCTTTGGCTTCATGTATTTTAGTATCTGATAGCATGGATGGGCAGATCATTTGTGAACACTGTGCAGATGCTCAAGGGCCCCCTGGCACTTAGGGGCCTATTAATTGAAATGTGGGTCATGTGTGTGCTGGGACCCCCCTCACTGTCATTTAGACCTGGGCAGTGTTTACTTCCAAGGTAGTGGGGAAGGGGAAGACATTATACATGATGCACTATCCATTCTCCTGGTAATATTCTAATAGTTAAGTGGTATTGGTGGTCTCACCTCAGTTGTACATTCTGATTCAGGAGAGATGTTAGAATACTGCAATATCTAATCTATCTATCTACAGTTGCAAGAAAAAGTATGTGAACCCCTTGGAATTACGTGGAGTTTTGCATGAATTGGGCATAAAATGTGCTCTGAACGTCATCTAAGTCACAACAATAGAAGAACACAGTCTGCTAAACATAATACTACACAAACATTAGATGTTGTCATGGTATAATTGCACATAACATGTAAACATTCACAGTGCAAGGAGGAAAAAGTATGTGAACCTTTGGACTTAATAACTGGTTGACCCTCCTTTGGCAGCAATAACCTCAACCAAACGTTTCCTGTAGTTGCAGATCAGACCTGCACAACGATCTGGAGTAATTTTGGACCACTCCTCTTCACAAAACTGTTTCAGTGTAGCAATATTCTTGGGATGTCTGGTGTGAATCGCTCTCTTAAGGTCATGCCACAACATTTCAATTGGGTTGAGGTCAGGACTCTGACTGGGCCACTCCAGAAGGCGTATTCTGTGCTTTTGCAGCCATTGTTTTGTTGAATTACTTGTATGCTTTTGGTTATTGTCCTATTGCATCACCCATCCTCTGCGGAGCTTCAGTTGGCGGACAGATGGCCGTACGTTTTTTCCTGCAAAATGTCTTGATAATCTCTGGAATTCATTTTCCCATCAATGACAACAATCTGTCCAGGTCCTGAGGCAGCAAAGCAGCCCCAAACCATGATGCTCCCTCCGCCATGTTTTACAGTGGAGATGAGGTTTTGATGTTGGTGTGCTGTGCCTTTTTTTCTCCACACATAGTGTTGTGTGTTCTTCCCAAACAACTCAATCTTGGTTTCATCTGTCCACAGTATATTTTGCCAGTAGTGCTGTGGAACATCCAGGTGCTCTTTTACAAACTTCAAACGTGCTGCAATATTCTTTTTGGACAGCAATGGCTTCCTCCGTGGTGTCCTCCCATGTACTCCATTCTTGTTTAATGTTTTCCTTCTTGTAGATGTGTCAACAAAAATGTTAGCATGTGCCAGAGATTTCTGTAGGTCTTTAGCTGACACTCTGGGATTCTTCTTTACCTCATGCAGCATTCTGCGCTGTGCTCTTGCAGTCATTTTTACAGGACGACCACACCTAGGGAGAGTAGCAACAGTGCTAAACTTTCTCCATTTGTAGACAGTCTGTCTTACCGTGGACACATGAACATCAAGGCTTTTGGAAATACTTTTGTAACCCTTTCCAGCTTCATGCAAGTCAACAATTCTTGATCGTAGGTCTTCTGAGAGCTCTTTTCTGCGAGGCATGGTTCACATCAGACAGTGCTTCTTGAAACCAGTAAACCCAAAACAGGTGTGTGTTTTTTAAGGGCAGGACAGCTGTCAGCAACACAACCAATATCATCACACTGATTGGAGTGAAGGTTGGCTCACTCCTGGCTCCAATTAGCTCTGGGAGAAGTCATTAAGCTAGGGCCTCACATACTTTTTCCTCCCTGCACTGTGAATGTTTACATGTTATGTGCAATTAAACCATGGCAACATCTAATGTTGTGTAGTATAATGTTCAGCAGACTGTGTTCTTCTATTGTTGTGACTTAGATGACGTTCAGAGCACATTTTATGCCCAATTCATGCAAAACTCCACGTAATCCCAAGGGGTTCACATACTTTTTCTTGCAACTGTATCTATCTATTTATCTATCTATTTATCTATCTATCTATCTGTCTAAAAATGTTTGTACTTAGCCCAAACAAAAAATGAGCTTCTTTATTTTCTTAATATCACTAACAGTGCAGCATGTAAGATTGAATAGCTCTTTTTTGCAGTTTTGTTTTTATTTTCGATCACAGTAGTTTGTGTTGAGATTTCCAATCAAAATATTAATTTGTTTTTGTATTTATAGTGATAATGGCACTTGACAAGTGAAGTTTTTACCTGTCTATGGAACCCTGCTGTGAAACTCTGCCAATATTAAATTACTCTGTCTGTTTCCTATCTTCACTACACTATTTCCCAAGCCTGTCTTTGTGTTAGTGGATTACTAATGTTGTGTGGCCAGAGCATAGCACATAATTCTAACAAATACATATCACTTAACAAACAATGGGAATATAGCAGAGGAGGAATTTACTGCCACCAAAAAATGTAAAAACAATATAAGATTCTCCTTTGTAATTACAACACTGGTCACACATTTAGAAAAATATCGCACATGCATCATTGAATACTTCTTTTTATTGAATAAACTTTTTTATGGTAGTACATTGTACCCTCTAAATAGCTAAATTTGTGCATGGAGCTTCAAACCATTGTTTTAGGGGTTATGGCTCAGCAGGCACTTTAATTTATATATGGTGGAAATGTGTGCAAATAAAAAGATTCTGGACAAGAGTCTATCCACTGATCTACACAGTCTTGGGAAAGAGCTCTCTCTTCTGCTTGTACTTACAATCAATTCAAATTCGTATCCTTCATTTTTACTGGTGGCAGACAAACTCTGATGAGAGTGTGGAAATTCAGTACTCCTACAACTGCTCAGGTTAAGCAAACAATGTTCTGGTACTTATTTAATGAGAAACTGGCCACCATTCTACAAGATAAGGTATACAAATTAAAAATGTGTGGGGTCTATGGATTTCCATCAATCTTAGGGGGAATTCTAGGGATTCAACACGAACACTGTAATCTAACTATGCATGCTTGGGGATCCAACTTGGCCCAGACACAATTTTTCCCTTCGTTCATATATCTAATCTCTCAGCCTTTTTTGTTTTAGTTCTTTTCTTAGTTTAAACCATTTTTCTAATGGGATTGGTTTCTGCAAGGGATACCTCAGCTTGGTAGGTGCTTTGGTCCTATGTCCTAGCCCCAGAGGGGTTCCCACTTGGTAAACCATCTGTTAATGTGTTACCCAAGTTTTTGGAATAGTATGCCCTATGAACATATAAATATTATCTGGGCATGCATAAAATGTTTTTCTTTACTCATTGGGGTGGTATACTTTTCAGTGTATCTGACTAGGATATCATGTGATTGGAAGTTGTGGGCAATTCTTCTGTTATTATAAGACTTGTCATTCTCTAAACATACTGTTGTTGTACACATATATATTTTGATATGGTACTTGAAATAATGTGAAAAGGATGTGAAACCATTGTAACTGTGTTTCTATGATCTGTTTATTTAAAACATATTGAAACAAAAAACAACATAAGAAAATAATGAATTTCTTAATATACCAAAATACAGTGGATAATACACAATAATAGTTGCTATATATGGTAAAATGATACCAGATAGATAACCATAGTAGAGGCTGTCAACAACCAGTAATGTACAAGACTCCAGACGGAAATGATCCAAATGATACAAAAAAGTAAAAACCATTTCAAATGAGTCTTAGAACCCTGTTCTGAAAAAATGCATACGGAATGAAAAATGACAGTTAAAATGGCTTGTATATACTCTATGAGAAATAAGGAATAGCATCAGATACTGTAAAAAAATTTAGAAATATTCTCAATCATCAGGTTATTCTACTCCTCTGTATGCTACTACTGAATTATAGGCAGTATAAGAGACTCATTTTTGACTGCTATTATGTTCTTTGCAGAGAATGGGCCTCGTCTTGTGGTGGAGGTAGATCAAACTAAAGTCATCTCTCATCGAGGTGGAAATGCCACACTGCCATGCAAATTTCATCATGAATCAGTGTCAGCAGGAGTACTTTCACACAAAATTCGAATCAAGTGGACCAAACTGACTTCAGATTACCTCAAGGAAGTGGATGTCTTTGTTTCAATGGGGCACCACAAGAAGAGCTTTGGCAGCTACCAGGGCAGGGTTTACCTGCAAGGACCAAGTGCAAATGATGCTTCACTAATTATCACCGACATTACACTGGAAGACTATGGTAGATACAAATGTGAAGTTATTGAAGGACTGGAGGATGATACTGCTGTTGTATCATTGGATTTACAAGGTAATCTCAAATCATTGGCTTATCATTATATAAAATATACATATTTAAACAAAATATTATTTCTTTGAATTTGTCGTATAATAAAAGTGTATCTCAAAACTATCTCTTTTAAATGTTGTACAGAGTACAGAAGATTTGGAACAATAAAGGAAGGGAAAAACAGCACAAACCACCATAGTGTAGTATCACCAATAAAAGTGCTTTATTAAAAGACAAATTCCTACTCACAGAGTATGTGACATGGTACCCATGGGGGGGGATTGCCAAGCAGAAGATAAAGAGACCGTACACCATCCACAAGCCCTGGCCAGGGGCATGGATGTAAGTTGGGCAAGCAGTTTCCTGGAAGCCAAACCTCGTGTTATTATCGTGGTGGCAGGCAAAACGCAGAGAAACACTATATTACTAGTATAGTACTTTGTCCTGTGTTTCCCAAAACAGGCTCTAAGAGTTCTGATTGTTCTACCCATGTATTGTAGGCCGCAAGGACAACAAATGCAATAGACTATGTGGGTTAATGTTGGGGTAATGAATCGGCACTCTCTTTAGCGTGACACACATTTACCTGCCAGTCCCCTACTGTATTTCCACTGTCTGTATTGGTTTTACCTTGGTTCAATAAAGTGTATTGTTTGGAGTGCAGCTGATCAGGCGTACTTTGTTCTCAATAGACTATGTGGATTGAGGAACATGTCAAAAATTAAATTATAGTATAAATATGAGCTGGATGATCCTTAATAGTTTTGCTGGCCATACTTAATAAAACTGAAAATCAAGCAATCAAGCTTGTAACACTGAAATATCCCCTTAAGGGCCAAAAAAGTAGGCACGTGACAACTGAGGCATCTTTGGATGCTTAGATTTTTTTTCTGCATTTAGTCACAAGAACAAATGGAGCACTAAATTGATATTTTCTGAGGGTCACTGAAATTGTTACTGGGTACACATGCTCAGGGGCCACACTCAGGAACAGGGTAAGGACCCAGAGACTCCATATACTGTACATAGCAAACATCCAAGAGTTGAAGGTAATTTAATGTCCTTCTGAAACTGTTCCAAGCAGTAAATCACAGTGGTATTATTATTATTATTATACAGTATTTATATAGCGCCAAAGGGTATGCTCAGCGCTGTACAGTAGCAAGGGGGACAGAACATGAGACAAGACAGTAACAATACACTACACGAGGGGTTCGAGGGCCCTGCTCTTTCGAGCTTACAATCCATTTAAGCACAACTTTTAATCCCTGATGGGGTAAATGTGTTTAGGTCCTGAAATGCATTGGCTTTATTCTGCTAGGAGTCAATTTTATCATTAAAATACAGTGGATCTTGTCTGGAACTCTCATTTGATTATATTTTAGGTTAATAATGCTGTCTGTGTCCCTGGTGGAGAGATTTACCCTTTCTTTGTCCTAGTGACCACTGTCTCTAATACAGACAATGAAGGAAAGTCTAAACCAGGGGCAGACTGACAACTCATGGGGCCCCCGTGCAATAGGGGATCGTGGGGTCCTTGTGTCCTTGCCCAAACTTTAAAAAGCCTATGAAAAAGGTACCAGGGGCATCTCATGGGGCCCCCTACTGACCCCGGGCCCTCAGGCAGTGCCCCAGTTTCCAAATGGTCAGTCCGCCCCTGGACTAAACATTTTAACATATCACAGAACAGGAAGTTGGGGAAACTGTTTTGGTGACAATTGAGTCAGAGGAGTTTTTCTCTCACTATGAAAAATTTTCCTGAGACACAACAGGAAATTAATAGAAGTATCCCCAATGGGTAACAGACAGCCACAGACAGCAAAAAAAGAAAAGAGGTTTCAACTATTCCCTGATCTATCCAAAACCTTAATTATCCTTAATTATACCTCTTTGATATGTTTTGTTGTACTCTTATATGTTTTATGAAGCAGATAATGTCAGATTTAACATATGTATGTAGCTTCCCGCACCGCATTTGTGATCTGCTGTGGGGGTCAGTTAAAGTTAAAGACACACCAAATGCAGGTCGTAAATGCATTGCGTTTGCCCACACCAAACCATGTGGTGTGGTGCTATTTCATCCCATTCAAATTAATGGGCATAAAATCATGCTGCATAGACCTGCATATGAATCGCACAGGAATGCACAGCGTGTTCCTGTGCTATTCATATCAGGGCATAATGTGAACCGACCCTAAGGTTAGCATGAAATGCACACTTTATACCCACCATGGATTTAACACTTGCTCTGTTTGTATAAGCATGCCTAGGTTTTAGATGCCAAATTATCAAGGGTCCTGCTATTGCTATTGCTTTTGAGTTCTGAGCTCTAGGAAATGCCGATAAGTTTAGTCTTAAGGCAAATATGTGATTTGCTAATGAAAAAAAGGCTTTTTAGGGTCTACATACAGAAAGTTCACTGTGAATGTGTGTCAATCAGTACATTTATTTCCAAGGAGTATCAGTGTCATCTATCAGCAATAATACAGTATTTTTCCTGTTTGAAGTATTTGAGAAAAACAGCATGTGCAAATTATCCCAACCTCTATATAAAACTATAAGACTTTTATTGCTATTTGTGTCTTTTTGTGCAGCTCACTGTACAGGAGTGGACAGGCAGGTAGGTTTAATGCAGAAGAGATAAATCATGTCTCTTCTGTATTAAAAACACTGCCTGTTTGCCCATTTTTATAATTTACATAACATTCCACTTTAATGGCAACTTGTTATTTTCTAATTTATGAGGTTTCTAATCTACTTCTTTATATATTTACTTTTCAGGTATTGTTTTTCCATTTTTCCTCCGGCTTGGCCGGTATAATCTAAACTTTCACGAGGCCCAACAAGCCTGTCAGGATCAGGATTCTATAATTGCCTCCTTTGATCAGTTGTATGATGCATGGAGGTCTGGACTTGATTGGTGTAATGCAGGTTGGCTAAGTGATGGATCAGTACAATACCCAATCACAAACCCTAGAGAACCATGTGGTGGTAAAAACACTGTCCCTGGAGTTCGAAACTATGGCTATAGAGACAAAGACAAAGGCAGATATGACGTCTTCTGTTTCACATCAAATTTTAAAGGTAACTTTTTTTAAACTTACTTGTTAAGTAAATGTTTCTCAGAAGGTCATTTGTATGATTGCTGTTTTCCTAGGTAGTTATATGAGAGGCTCCCTGCAGCTAACAAAGGATTGGATGCCAGGTTAATTTGGACATCACAGCTTAGTGATTTAGTGAACCTCCTTTCTGTTTTTTTGTCTATTGTGTTCTTAAATGCAAGATTGTGACCGCACTATTTGATATATGAAATATACTTGCTTCAGAACAGCATGGGGAAATGTTGAAAATAGAATTTTATTTTCTCTTCTTCTACAGTGGGGCAAAAAAGTATTTAGTCAGCCACCAATTGTGCAAGTTCTCCCAGTTAAAAAGATGAGAGAGGCCTGTAATTGGCATCATAGGTAGACCTCAACTACGAGAGACAAAATGAGAAAACAAATCCAGACAATCACATTGGCTGATTTGGAAAGAATTTATTTGCAAATTATGGTGGAAAATAAGTATTTGGTCACTTACAAACAAGCATGATTTCTGGCTCTCACAGACCTGTACCTTCTTCTTTAAGCGGCTCCTCTGTCCTGCACTCATTACCTGTATCAATGGCACCTGTTTGAACTTGTTATCAGTATAAAAAGACACCTGTCCACAACCTCAAACAGTCACACTCCAAACTCCACTATGGGGAAGACCAAAGAGCTGTCGAAGGACACCAGAAACAAAATTGTAGACCTGCACCAGGCTGGGAAGACTGAATCTGCAATAGGCAAGCAGCTTGGTGTGAACAAATCAACTGTGAGAGCAATAATTAGAAAATGGAAGACATACAAGACCACTGATAATCTCCCTCGATCTGGGGCTCCACGCAAGATCTCACCCTGTGGGGTCAAAATGATCACAAGAACGGTGAGCAAAAAATCCCAGGACCACACGGGGGACCTAGTGAATGACCTGCAGAGAGCTGGGGACCAACGTAACAAAGGCTACCATCAGTAACACACTACGCCGCCAGGGACTCAGATCCTGCAGTGCCAGACGTGTCCCCCTGCTTAAGCCAGTACATGTCCGGGCCCATCTGAAGTTTGCTAGAGAGCATTTGGATGATCCAGAAGAGGATTGGGAGAATGTCATATGGTCAGATGAAACCAAAATAGAACTGTTTGGTAGAAACACAACTCGTCGTGTTTGGAGGAGAGAGAAATGCCGAGTTGCATCCAAAGAACACCATACCTACTGTGAAGCATGGGGGTGGCAACATCATGCTTTGGGGCTGTTTCTCCACAAAGGGACCAGGACAACTGATCCATGTACAGGACAGAATGAATGGGGCCATGTATCATGAGATTTTGAGTGCAAACTTCCTTCCATCAGCAAGGGCATTGAAGATGAAACGTGGCTGGGTCTTCCAACATGACAATGATCCCAAACATATTGCACGGCAACGAAGGAGTGGCTTCGTAAGAAGCATTTCAAGGTCCTGGAGTGGCCTAGCCAGTCTCCAGATCTCAACCCCATAGAAAACCTTTGGAGGGAGTTGAAAGTCCGTGTTGCCCAGCAACAGCCCCAAAACATCACTGCTCTAGAGGAGATCTGCATGGAGGAATGGGCCAACATACCAGCAACAGTGTGTGCCAACCTTGTGAAGACGTACAGGAAACGTTTGACCTCTGTCATTGCCAAAAAAGGATATATAACAAAGTATTGAGATGAACTTTTGATATTGACCAAATACTTATTTTCCACCATAATTTTGCAAATAAATTATTTCCAAATCAGCCAATGTGATTGTCTGGATTTTTTTTTCTCATTTTGTCTCTCATAGTTGAGGTCTACCTATGATGCCAATTACAGGCCTCTCTCATCTTTTTAAGTGGGAGAACTTGCACAATTGGTGGCTGACTAAATACTTTTTTGCCCCACTGTATATTCACCTGTTAAAAACTGATATAGCTCTCATCTAAGAAGCAGGGACCTTAGCATGGGATGATGAAGATGGCAATAGAAGTGAGCACTGGACAAGCCAGTCAGTTAATAGAAACATTCCTATCAAACCTATCAACTAGTAAATCACAAAACAGCAAAAAAAAAAAAGGGAGACTTCTGAAAAATATACAAGTTAGAGTATTACTAAACCCACAACAGTAAAATCAGTCTGTTTATGCAGTAAAGCATGCTTGTTATTGTGACGGGTGCGGCGGCAGACCCCAGTCCTTCTCACCAACTTGTGACCGAAGGAATAGCCAATCTAAAACCGCGCTGTCACTTGCGTAACAATGCCACTCTCAGATGTACCCTGCACAAAGATTTTCCAGCTCACTGGACCCCCAATCTAGGTGCCAACAGCCTGAGTGTGATTGTTACTGGGTCAGGTTATTTACACAGTTAACCCTTCACACTGCCACCACCACCTTTTTACAGAGAAGGAGGAAACTCACAAATCTTAGCGGTAACACTATGATGTTTGAATAAGCATCTGTATACACACTGTCACCACAGACAGATGAATCCAGAGGTTTTAAAACACACAGTAGCACGCTCCAGAGACAGGGATTCTTAGTTTGCGTTAAAGAGCTGTAGAAACAGTTCAACACCTTTCAGAAAATAGGATTTATTACTAAAAAGGTCAAAATGGTGCAATAAAAATATTTACAGAAAATATGTAACCAATATATATATAAATAGAGAGAGCAATAACACAACAGAGAGATAAAAGAAAGAAGTTTAAGAAGGTAGAATACTTGCAGAAGTCCTGGTTTTGCAGAGTTCAAGTGTCCTGAACAAAAGGGTACCTTTTCTCTCAAAGTTGGTTCCTGATGTTAAAAGGGAGAATCTCTTCATCTTCCTCTCCAGGCATGACAACCTGTTTTCTAGTGTCCCAGCAGGGTGTGTCTACTGAAGCCAAGGGCCAATCGCCTCATTTGGAGAGGGGGTTTAGGCGGAGACCCAGGCTGTGACCCAAATCCCTCACCAGTTTATACCATGGTCAATAACCTTCCATAGCTGCATGCAGCAGCCTAGCCACTGGCAGGTTAATATGCAGAACCATATTCTGAACGTCCAGACATCAAATATGACATATCTGGCTGTGACGGGTAAAGACATATCGCTTTCTGCTCTCTGGTAGACATTATCTAGGGGTGTAAGGTATCAGGCGACTTGTATTAAAAACGACCTATCTGAATATATGCTTTGTTTTATTGTACCTTGTTCCTGCCAGGATTTATGAAATTGTATGAAAAGTGGTTTCAAGTGGGATGTCTGTTTTACTGCCACTCTGGAATGCTTTCATGTCCAGTGACTGACTGGTTTATAGCTTTACGATCACGCCAAGGCAAGGGTCTGACAGACATCATGGAACCAGCTAATTGGGTTTACAACCATGAAGTGTATCAAGCTGTGCCCGATGCCCTTGTGACCCCAGCATACACACAAACCACATGCCATTCAAAAAAAAGGGAGGGGGGACTGATTTGGAGTGAGAATGACATTTGCAGGGTATGATCCAAATTATGGTTGTCATTGTCCATATCTGTGCGCACAATTATCACAGTTATACTCGCTGTGGAACCTAAGGGGTAATCCTCCACATTGTGTACAAAGGCTGTGTGATGCTGTCTTCTCTCATCCTCCCCTTCTTCTACTGTCTCTAATCCATCTGCTGATAGTACAAAGCTCTAGGAGTTGCTCTGTATATGCTCAGTTTAGTGTGTATGGCTAGAGAGTTTTTTTTTCTTTGGGAGGGTGCATGTGATCAGCAGAAGGCCAGAATGAGAATGAAAACTCCTCCTACAAGATTAACCAGTGCTCAGCTGGACACTGATAGAAATCACAAGACTGCTCTATACTACTGATGAGAAAAGGTATTTAGCAGTTTATATTTACTAAAATAATTGCATTTCCATGTAGTGTGTACTGTGGGAGACCAGATATAGTGAATGCAGGGTCCTGGGTTTAGTAACACTTTAACTCACTTTCTTGTAATTAAACAATTATACATACCAGGTCAAAGTAACATGTCTTGTCTAAACTATACCAAAAGACCGCCATATTCCTAACATTAAACATCAATATTACCTACTGCCTACTTCTTTTTTTCATTCTGCATTTCTATCATGAAATTATTTATTACAATGCATTTCATTAAATAGCAGATAGCTTATCACAAAATATGCGATACTGTAATTAATTGATAAGATGATGTTATTTCTAAGAGCATTTGACAGAACACAGATTTCTGGCACCAGAAGATGCTAATGGGAATTTAAATGTTGGTTTCCATGGCGGCTATTTTCTTTTCAATCCTCGTCAGACTTTCATTCCAGGGCTTATGTTCACGGAGATTAAGAAAAGAGTTGAAAAAAAACTATCGAAGATAATATATCTGTATTTTGGACCAGCTCTTGCAGTGTGTACAATGAATTACAAGGAGAGCTTACAGACACAGTGGGGCTGCGCACAATAAAGTGTGTTATCATGTCAGTGCCAAGGCAGTAGAAGATACAGTAACTTTTCTAAGGTCAAAATGTTGGATTCGCACAAGCTGTTCAGTATTGGAATAATATATCTCACAAGCTAATCAGTATTGGAATAACATCCCCGTTACAAAATGAAAAACTCTAGTTTTGTCTTTAGCAACAGTGATGTTATTCCAATACTGACTTCTACTAGTAACTGTGTCCTTGATGGAAACTAATGCTATACACTGTTATACAGAGACATATGAAGGCAGAATGGGACCCTAGGCAAGGTAACAACTTCCCCCATCCCTTTTATGTTGTCTGTACTGGCCCCCGCAGTCAGACACCAAATTCTTATATGTGCATCCTCCCTTATGAAGTGATAAACAGGTGTACAGCTTTGCCTAATTGACTAACCTCCCAAGTTTACTTGAGAAGTATGAACGATATAGCTGGTCCCCCTAGACATCCATCAGACCCTAGGCATTTGTGTGGGTTTATTTATATATTTCAGGTACTTATATAGCTCTGTCAATTTACGCAGCGCTTTACATATATATTGTACATTCACATCAGTCCCTAACCCTCAAGGGGCATACAATCTAAGGTTGCCTTGAAATATATAAATAAATATATTCAAAATAAATAAATAAATAGTTGAGTGCAGCAACCAAAAAAAGAGTTGGAATACCAAACTAATAAACATACTATCCACCTGGTGCGCTACTCTTTTAGCACATATATGCAGCAACAACAAATCAATTAAAATATAGGTGTATGTGTCCCAAAATCCAAAGATAATTAGTGCAGTACAATAAGAAACGTGCTCAATCCACATATCATCCAATGGTGATCATAAAACCACATTTAGAAGTGAATTATTGTGCTTCCACCACCAGACAAATATTTACCCTCTTACCAAGAGCATTGATCTCATTAGCCCGAGATCAAATAATGCCTGTGTGCCCTTAGGTCAGCACTGACTATGCTTTCAGCCAGATATTCTCTTGTTATCAACGAATGCTCACAGGTGGCTAAAGACTTCCATCAAAGCAGGTACAGCATCCCTCCAAAAAATGATTATAGATGAGCTGCAGTAGTGTTATACCGTAAAAAAATGTTTATTAAAAATTTGGATATATGCTTAAATAAAGAGAAATTCAGAGTGCATATGAATCACATACAAGGGTACGAATGTCTGCATGTATGTGATGTCACCGGCAAAGCCCCTCCCAAAATGTTTTGCATCTTTAGGGGTATGGAGCATGTTGCATGCATGTGACTCCATGTTGCTCTATACCCCTGAAGATGCTGATTGGTAGCGAAACATGTTGGCTGACAGTGCAGTGGGATAATGTCACCAGAGAGGCCTAGAAATAGGTAAATATATACATCTTTCTTAACCCCCTGGCGCTGGCGCCTGCTGACCCTTTAAGGGTTTCAGAGACATGTGACCACCGTGATTCGCCGTCATGGCGGTCACATGATCGGGAAAGGTCCCAATCGAAAGAGGAGATTGGGACCTTTCCGTGAGTACCGGACATGTGTGCTGGGAGCGCACAGGGCACGCGCTCTCAGTACATATGTTTTTTCTTAATTGCACACAAATGTGCGGCCTCTCGGTGTCTAGGCCCAGACGCTGGGAGGCCGCACATTTGTGTGCGGCCGCTGTGAGGAGGTTAAACTGGTTAGTAAGCATAGGTGTTAGCTGGGGTAAAAGGAGAGTTTTAAGAGTTTTACCAGTAGTTAGAGTTAAGCTGGAATTTCACCTCCCATACATGTTATTTAAGGAAATACGTATGTTGCCTTTAAAGACCTGGTCCTCATTGAATGGTATTTTTTAAAATATTTTTTGCATTGGTACATGTCCCCCATGGCAGTGCCCAGCTACTAATTCCTTTTTTTACCAAAAGCTCACAAACTGACCTTGCAAAAGGTCTGAACAAAATTCCAAAATTCTGTTCTCATATACTTCAATGCAGTTTGGATGTTATGTTTGGGGTTTGCGGATTTCCTGCTGGGTTTGATGAGCATATAGCGAGCCAAGCTTTGCTCATTTCACTCATCCTTTATCCATTCCTTCAAATTATTGGGTCTTGGGACTAAGTTTACCAGTGGCAAAGGCTATTTACTGTATTATAGATTGGTCTTTATTTTATTTTTTGCTGGTGAATAGCAGATTAAAATCTGTTAATCTATATAGATCTGTATATTAGCTGCTCCCATTGTAAAAATGTCAACTTCAGTGTGGAAGTCAATCCTGCTTTTTAAACAGAGACCTTTAAATACTGTAAAATGAAGTGTAGTAAATAATGAGCATTTTGCTGAATTTGTGCATTTTACTGTAACAGAGCCCTTTAAACATTTTAAAATAAATTGTAATTGCTAAGGAGCATTTTTCTGAAATGTGTTTTTTTTAATGAACAATTATATGACTTTATTTTTATTCTTAGGTCGTTTCTATTACCTAATACACCCAGTGAAGCTGACTTATGATGAAGCTGTACAAGCCTGTATCAATGATGGTGCTCAGATTGCTAAAGTAGGCCAGATGTATGCAGCATGGAAGCTACTTGGTTACGATCGGTGCGATGGAGGATGGTTGGCTGATGGTAGTGTTCGTTACCCAATCTCAAAACCAAGACGGCGCTGTAGTCCCAACGAAGCAGCTGTGCGCTTTGTTGGTTTCCCAGATAAAAAGCACAAGTTATATGGTGTTTATTGTTATAAAGCATAGAACTAGAGCAACCCAAGAACACACACCAGTATTAACAAAATTATTGAAAAAAAAGTGAAAATTTTATTTTGAAAGTGAACTCATGCAAGCTATAAAAAAACTGTGATAAACCTTTTTACTTACTGTAAAAACATTGTCATACATTTATGTCATTGGCTGTCTTTTGTTTTTATTTTTTTATAACTCTTCTTCAAGTTATAATTTAAAAAAAAAATCTTATTTTAAATTAAAGCATAATGGTTACTCAGTCACACCAAACTATATCTAGTAGTTTAATGAATGGGGCATGCCATAGCTTGATGATTGCTTCATCTTTACTGAGGAATGTAAGATAACTCCAAATAGAAGTGTATAAAAAAAATTTAAAATAGTTTATACAATGATATTTCAAAATGCACTACAGAAAGTAGATCCTCGGGTTCAATTTAGGTGCTGCCAGTATCTGCTTATGCATAATAGGACAGCTAATATAAAGCATTAGTATATAAACTGTATTTGCTTTGAACATGGTTTGATTTACTATTATAAAGCAATGGAAAAAAAAGAAAAAAAAAAACAGTGATGTCATTAGAAGCACAGCAAAAATACTCGCAGTTAAACTGTATTTTATATTGTGTATGAAACATTGATGAATGTTTGCATAATTAATGAATGAACCCTATTTTGTTTTTAATTCAGTTCAATGACGCCTAAAAAGTGTTGAGTTACAGGTACAGTTGGCAAACTTTCATGAGTTAGTTAAACAGCAGTGGCTGTTTGTTAAAAGATATACAGCATTAACTCAGGGCAGTTATTCCATGTGAACTGCTGGACAGAACAAACACATACTCAAAATGATATAGCAAAGTTTATTATATGTTAGTCTTTAATTATTATTGTCTTTATTAATATATATTTAATATTTTTCGTATTTAGAATTCATGAGAAATTATTGAAAAATAGTGCAGCTTTCAGTTAACCCCAAATATACAATGACATGTTTTTCCTCAACTCTAACAGCACAGGTCTAACTACACAGTAGGTCAACAAGAAACATACATTATATGTATATATAACAGATATATACTTTATATGTATACTGTACATTCAAAAAACCTATAAAAATAGAATTAGAATGAAAAATATATGCAGGGCACAAATACAGCCTTCACTTGATCCTCCCCAATGCCAGTGGTGTATTGTTTTAGAATATTGTCATAATGGGGGTTATTTACTAAAACTGGATAGTGCAGTTCTGCATAGAAACTAGCTTCCAGGTTTTATTGCCAAAACTTAAAGAATATGTAAACCTAGCATTTCCTATTCCTGATATGTGCCTGCTGTACCATATACTTGTATGAAAAAGTATCATGTTCTCTTTGTATTGTTTCCTTTGTGTGAAATTCCTGGTGTTCCTGCCAGTCCTCTGCTGTCCTATCAAAAACTGACTACACTAGGCAGGAGAACACAGCGTGGTCAGTTCTCTAGCTGTGCTGGGAACTCAGCCTGCTCTTCTCCAATGATCAGACTTGTCCTGACATACCTACCCTTGGTCAGCCTTTCGCGGGGAAGATCAGTGTCCTACTGTGTCTCCTCTACTAGCTCTTATACAGCAGAGAACAGAGGGTATGTGATCACTTATAAAAAAAATTCTAAATACTTGTTTCCTCCCTTTTTATAACTATACGCAAATGTTTTGCCTTTCCTTTCTATTTAAACTGAATGAGATGTTTTACAAGGTGATAGTTTACAATGACTTTAATTGAACAACCTGAAGTTAGAAGCTGATTGGCTATCATGCACAGCTGCACCAGATTCTGAGTGCACCAATTTTAGTAAATCCCCCACGATGTCATATTTTGTTGAGCATGCAATGAACAGGAGAGTATGCCATTTTTTTCAGTAGTTTTGTCATTGAAATGTCTTCCTAGAAGCACACTTTCCATTTTGATTTAATTTTATTTATAAATGTATTCCTACAATTTCAGCAAATAATTAGGTAAGAATTCATAACTGCTCCACTTTCTTCCAGCTCTTAAAAGTATTGCAAAAATACCCTTAGTTATACTATTCCCCTAAAATGCAGCTTGTGTTTCTTTGTGAGTCATTTTAAATGCATTTGATGGAAACTGTAAGTTTACTGAATGTATGTATAATGCAAATAACAAATATCCAACATACTGTAAGCATGCAGAATATAAACTTGCTATCTTAAAGAAAAAAATCATACACCATAGTGGTTCATATTTAAAAAGCCAGCTTTACTGAAGTTTAAACATTATAAACACATGCAAAGGCATATATTAAGGATTTCTGAAGTTGGATAGTGTTTATAAAATTGGTAAAATTTAGAACTAAATATTCAAACTACAGAGAATAATTTCTCCTGCAGCTATGTAAAGCACAAATTAATATTTAATCTATAAATATGTATTAAAAATAACATAAGATGTATTGCTAATAGTTCCAGCATAATAGATTTAATCACACTGCTATTGTTTACATCTGTTAAAAAAATCAAAATAAACTATTTTAGTAGCAATATGCTTTTTAGGCAGTGTTGCTGGAGTTACACAATTTTGGTATAGCTTTAAGAGAAGATTTACTTAACTGAATCTTGTCATGGTGATAAAGCAGTCAAGCCAACAGAGCCACCTTACATGTCAAAATGTCCTCCTAGATTCCCAAGGAATTATTTTTAAATATACCAATTGTGTTTTTCAACTTCAAAGTCAGAGCTCCTGCATGCTCCCAGGATCCCTCAGTGCAATGGGGTTGATTTACTAAACCTGTCGAGTGTAAAATCTGGTGCAGGTCTGCATAGAAACCAATCAGCTTCCAGTTTTTTTGGCAAAGCTTGATTGAACAAGCGGAGTTGTGCTTCCATGTGCCAGATTTTTGCACTCCTGTTTCCTGTTTTAGTAAATCAACCTCATTGTGTATACATGATTGACTTATAGTGAGGCTCTTACATTGCATAGACCTGTGAATCTGAGGCTGAACATTGCAGTTGGCATAGTAAGCACAACAGGATTGAGAATCTCAAGTTGGTGACACTTAAGCAAAATTGTATTTGCAGCATTTTGTTATGTTGGATTAGCTGCTTTATCAGCATCACTGACCTATGTTAATATTGTAAGTTGTACTTCAGCTCAGAGAACCAGCGTTGGGTTCAAAGACTCAATCAGGATAGGAACAAAATAGACATATCTAACTATTTAAAAATATGAAAATATTTTTTAGAGGTTGTCTGCAGTAAATACCAGATTTGAGCATCTGGCTTTACCTCCATTGCTATGTTAGTCAAGCACTTAAAGATGTATATTGTGCCACCTACTACCAGGATACTCACTAGCTTGGAGGAACACAGAGAACTGAATTTGATCAGAACTATTGAGAAGTAGTGCATGTTCTCTTTTAAAATGAATTTTCACGTGTGTTTGGCAATGATGTTACAAAAAGTAAAATTATGTGCAAAGAGGATTATAAAACAGGATTTTTGCTTGCACATGATTGGATGATTGAAGACAGTACAGCACAGCTTTACTTTAATCACCAGGATAAGGGCATACCCTTTGCAAAATTAATGTTCCATTAGCTTTTTGAATGAGGTAAAGTTGTGCTGACTGTAATTGTCCAATCAGTGGTGAACGAAAATATTTTCTTTTTTTTTTTCTTACTTGCACATATTCTTCACATAGTGAATTTTCATTTCTTCCACCTGGGATAAGTGAAATTTCACTCTGCAAAATGGAAAATTCACTTTGAAAGTGAACTTGGCCCACTTCGTGAGTATATTGGGATTTATGACTGCCAATAGCAATAACATAAAAGAAATACCTACTAAATGCACACCACCAACAATATATATTATTTATATATATATATATATATTCACTGAACTGGAGTACAACACTACAGCACACACTTGAGTAACTCATCTGCTATATATACTTTTCAAAAGTTTAACTACATTACAACAGGCTGAAGTCTGGGGTGCTAATTATTTGAAATCTTAGTATTTATTAAGCTCTACTGATGGGTGAGATGCCCTTACTTTACTGCCATAATCTATATTTATGTCCTTATATGGACAGCAAGTAATACTAAGGTCTGACTGCCTAGCAACTATACTGTTTCAGTACAATTCCCCTTCCAAAGAATTTCTTTGTGACATAATCTAGGGCACATGATAAATCACAACTAGAGCTTAAACAAATAAGGAAAAACCTGCTAGTATGAAAGATAGAGAAGGATCATTGACATAGGGGCCCACTGCAAGGCAAATTTGCTTGTATCATGCAAAAAGGATTTTGGGTGCTGTATTTTCATTATATGAAACCAAAAAAAAAAATAAGCAAAACTAACCAATTTAAACTGAAAATATGGACTTTAGATATATTAAGGGCCATGAAGCTGGATGTTTCAGGATAATGGAATAATTCTTAATAAATGCAAAAATGAGAAAATGGACTTGCTCTACAATTGAGAAGACCGTGGTGCTGCAGGGTAAAAATGAACTGTACTGAAGAAAAAAATGTGACAATAAATTACAACTATTTTATATTTTGGGCTATGTTTTCTTTTCTTAAGTTGTACGTTATTACACTTATTATGATCTAGGTACCACTAGAGCTAGTTTTTAGTGTGCTCTATAAATTTATATGTTAAGCTACATAACTGTAATTGTTTTTATCCTAAGTATAACTCCAACTTTATCATCTCACATTTCATGTAAAGCAGATTATACAGTTGCCAATAACAATGCCACCTCCTATAGCATTTAAACTCAAACTCTCAAGTTCTCCCATATAAAGGTTTTTTTGTAGAAGAGTTAGGTGCCACATTTGGGTGTATTCTGAGAAGGTTGGTGTTGCACCAAACTCTTTTACAGCCAGAACTGTCATGGTTATGTATCAGCAAAATGAAGGTACACAGAACAAAAGCATGACACTTCCAAACAAAAATAAAACCTTTATCAACAGAAGAGCCAAAGGCATTGGCTCTATATCAGCTTTATG